AACAAATCTTGGGAATAATGAGAGACGATGGTAGAGGCCTGGTTTTCTTCAAAATGTAATCAACAAAGGAGAGGGAGAGATCAAAGAGAGACATAGCCCAAAGGAGGAGGTTGCCCTTGCAAATGGTGTGCCGATGCTCAGTTGCAACATCAAATCGCCTTGCGCTTCCCTGGTCATCTCTGCCCTGAATCATCTGTTTCACAGCAACATCTTGGTTGTTGCGACTGCCAAGTCCATCCGGTGAGGAGGGAGTGAGTGTCATGAAGCCATGATGCGCATCCTTGAAAGATCCAGAGCCAAGGGATGATGATAGAAGGACCATCAAGGTACCATCCTCGCACAATACCGGATCATATTCAAATTGAACTGGACGGGAGCCGTCAAACAACTCGGTCATGGGGTGTGGGATAACACGCAAGAACTGGATGCGGTCAGATGTGGGAAGATCTACGAGAAACAAATTCGGTCAGTAGAATTGAACAACGGAGAATTTTGTGCTCACCCAATGGGCCCGCTCATAATACTCCTCCTCCAACGCTCAAGGCCTTCTGAAGCCTTGCCTGGTCGGCTTGATCGGGGGACCAATATGGGCGTTTCATTCCCGTATAGAACGTCTCTGGAGTCCAGGGACAATTGCTGGGATGATTGGAAGCAGAATTTGACCAATCTGCTGAGCCCAGCGCTCCAACCTTTGATGGAGATCCACTAGTGCAGGATTCGAGGACAGAAATGGAACATGATTTCTCCAAATCCTCGCAAGATTTTGCCGAAACTGAAGCCTCTTTCTGAGACTACATTCAAAGTGATCAGTGTAGATTGAATAATTTAATATATCTGAACGTGATAACAGATGATGGGCATCAAGCTCGTTTGCAGCAGCTTGTCAATGATGTAGAACCCAACGTTCCGGGGGCAGCTGGTGACAATGACATTGACAATGAGGTTGTTCAAGCTTGGTTCTCAGATGAAGAAGGACCTGAGGATCTGGCAGCAGCAGATGAGTGGTAAAATACTAGCTGTGATATTCTCCGGATATTGCTGTTTCTTTGGATTGAAGTCACTTGTTTAAATGTTGATGGATCCTGGCTCTCAATTGCGCATTTTCATCCATTTACATTTAGTTTCATTTGTAGTGACAAGCGCAGATACACCCTGGCCCCGCAATCAATTGAACTGATGTCCCATCAGTATGACGTACCAAGCTGCTTGGTCTGACAAAGCAGCCACAATTGATCTGATGTCCCATCTCTGATCCCGGATCACGAGATTCTACATACATACTGTTTTTTGTCGTGTCCTTACTGAACCCCGTCATCTACAGTTATGTCGTAATCTCATACTCGTTGAATTTGTGCCTCAACAAGTCATTTTATGAATGCAATAAGATAGTGTTAGAATGTTGAAAACATGCGTAAAGAAGAGTACGTAGTGAGTTCATGGGGTCCTGGCCACGTGCATCGCCTATCAATGTCAAATGTCTCGGTTGTGAGCAGGGCCTTCCAGGCCTCCATAGTTCTCCGAGTGGCTGGTGGCTCCTCGCACAATTCTAGTACATACATCAACATAATATCTATAAAAAATACCGAGACCGGTTCCGAATATAATAAAAGTCCCATCCCGATTCTATCCGATACAAGTGGCTGTTGGCACACTAGCATTGACTGCATTCCAAGGACTAGAGATGATGCGTCAACACTAGTCAAAACATGGAGAGCAAAGACCCCATACTTTGGATAAGTGCAACCCGCAACAGCGCTATCCGCAATGAGCCTCATAAGCAACGAACGAAAGGCTGTCACCACTCACACAAAAGCCAGCTGCGTGTCCGCGCTGTTGTTCCATCCAATCCCCACCGCAGCCGTCGGCGCAGCGGTAAACGTCGGCGCAAAAAGCGTCGTCAGCTTTCCTGTGGCCGTGTAGGTCGGAAGCAAGCCAATCATCGTCGGAGCAAACGAGGGTGATAGCGTGGTCGGGGGAAAGACATAGGATGTCGTCTGGCCGGGGTCAAGCGTCGCTGGGCCAAATCCGGTAGCAGAGGACGCATACGTTCCATCGAACGTTTGTGAGGAAGCGAGAACCGATGCGCAATGACCGATGGCCTCACGGGGGTCTGTATTGGTCTGCTGAGCACCGAGGAAAGCATACAACACGAAGCCACGCACCTGCTGGTATCCACCCTTTCTCCAATCCTAGCTGATAGTGCCACAACGGGTTCGACGACGTCCCCAACACCGTCGAGTTCCCGATCTTCCATGTCCAAAACCAAAAGTTCTGCAACGCATCCATCGTCGCCAGTGTCACCTGTTTGAGGCTCTGCACGAAGGTCGCGTTGTAGGCCGCCCAGTTGTCGATCGTGCTGCAGTCCGGTGCGCCAGGCTTGGATCCGATCCCATTCAGCCAGTACCCGCAGTCGTTGATCGCAGCCGAGAACTCGCCGCCAAGTGTCACACCAAAGGCTTTGGAAGATTGATTTGTCGCAACCGCCCATGAACTAGTCTACTGTTAGAGAGGACACCAAACCAAGTCCTTGACGCGCACCAAGGCTTGACCGCCATCTGGTCTATGGTGCTGACATAGTCGTACGTGAATGCAAGATACTGAGAATGTGGCATCAGAAATTAGGGGATCTGAGGACCTGAGACCGTGAGACCGCACCGGATGTTGATCGAGAGCTAGACGATCGGCACCAGAGAGAAAGCCCTCCCATATTGCAGGCTGAAGGCAGTCATTACAAGAAGAGACGGAAGCAGACAGACAACTGACTCCTTGAAAGGCTTCGTGGATGGCAATATAGGGACCTCGCCCAGCACCGACACCGCTTCGAAAGAACGGTTCAGACAGAATCCGTCACAACAAGAAGGCTCGCACGTCGATTTCCGAATGGCCTGGTACGCTGCCATATAAAAGCTCTGGATTGACTGCTTGCCGATCGTACTATACAGAATCTCATTGACGATGCCGATCCTGGGTTTTGGTCAGTATGCGCCGTTGAGCGCAGATCACGGAGACCCACACGCCAATCACGTCATGGTACTGCTCTTGACTTGCAAACTCTGTCAGAATGCGGAGGTAGGTCAAGGTGCGTTGGGCGTTGGCTATGCCCATGACACCGTTCTAGTAGGCGTGAGATTATGGAGGGGTGTGTCACTTCTCAACCAACCATGCTGCAAGAACCTCAGCACGAGCGGTTCATAGAACATCTATGTGAGACTCACAAGTTTATAGAACCGGCTGGAGCAAGGATGAATATACCTGCATTCATTCATCGAGCAAAGGGCGCACCTTTCCCTGAGTGGTTCTGCAGCCCGTCAGCAATCGGGCGTGCAAGTCCAGCGTGTGATTACTAACCCAGCCATTCTGACTACCGGGAAGCGCGTGCAAATCCATGTAGATCCTGATGCCGTACTTTCGCGCCCATTGTATCCTGATGACATCTTGGTTTGAGTCATCAGAAAGACAGCAAGAACGCACGCTTTCAGAAAGTACGTCCACGACGTTCCGACCAGAAAAGGTTCGTCGTTAATAGCTTCGATGACCTGCGAACACGAGTCAGCGACGTCTTTGAAGAAAGTCCAGCACGCACCCAGAACCCAATCGGTATCCGCACCCAGTTCAGCCCCGCGGCGGCAATGTTAGCGAAATCCTGTTCGGTCTGGGGATCTATCAGCCTGTCAATCCCCCGGGTGCGTTGACTGGTCCCTCACAATGAACGTCTTGTAGTGGTTGATGAGCTCCGGGGCCATGTTGGTGCCCATCGCCAGACACAGCGTCCACTCATCAACAACTACGATCCCCGCCGAGTTGTTCACGTACTTCTCGTACAACGCGGGCGTGATGAACGGCTCCGTCACCAGCCATCCGCTGCAGAGGGGGAGGGAGGTGGAGTCAGCGCCAAGCACGCAGCAGGATCCCCACCCACACAACAGACGCACCCGAGATTGACGCCCCGCGCAACATGCTTGCCCCAGACCCACTCCTCCGTGCCGACGCGCGGGCTCCACTCCTGCGCCTTGCCGCCGAGACTGAACGGCTTCGTCGGGTCCTCCGCCCAGTCGCCCCCGAACGCATTCGTATACGTGAACTGCGTCCCGTCGTCCATGGTGATCAGGCTGCCCGTGGTCCCGGTCGTGGGCCCCCGCGGAGTAGCGTGCGTCGAGTTGCTGCTGCTGGAATGAGAGGTCTTGTGCGTGAGGGACAAAACGACGGGGATGACGACGGCGAGGACGACGACGCTCAGCACGCCGAGGGTGATAAGGCACTTCCGACGCCGCCGCCGGCGTTGGCGGGGCTGCATCATCGCCTGTCGTGTCACGGGAGAGCGCGGCGGGGTGGACAGCGCAGCGGTGATTTTGTCGGTGGAGAGGTTGGGCGGGTCGGAATCCAGCTCGGATTCCGCAGAGTTCGTCCGATACTAGATAGCAATGATAGTGAGGAGAGGAGGGTAAGTCAAGGCGAGAGAAAAGTCTAAATGAGTAGTGCAAACGCACCATGTCTATCAGGTCGTCCTCCATCCAGTGGCTCACAGGCCTCGCGCTGCGGGAAGGGATGGGGGACATATCATGCACGTCCTCCTCCTTTACAGAGACGGTCCTGTAATGGGACATGGTGGACAGGGCGGCGGCGGGTTCCTTGCAATGTCTTTAGGGTGGCCGATCGCCCCCGAGGCACAATTCACGGTGAAGACAGCGGAGCGGCGATGAAGGAAAGGAGCTCAAGTTCGCTGAACAGAGGGGCACTGCCAGTGGATCGGCGTTCGTTCACCGCATCTGTCTTAGAATCAAGCATGAGAAACCCGTTCGCGTTCGAGGCCGCTTCGGCTCATCATTATTGAAAGATGTGCGGGGCGCTTGATTTTTGGAGCACTTGGCGGGCTGGGCAAATCGGAGGGCGGTCTCGCGTCGTGGACTGTTTGCTCGATCACCCAAATGGGGAGTGACAGTGACGGAACGTGCCAGCCATCAGAGTGGATCTGAGTGGATTATAGGCTCGTTGATCATGACCGCTTATCCTCTGTGATTGGATGCATGTCAGAAATAGATACACCCTGCCCCTGCTTCCGCGCGTCTGCTCTGGGTATTATTATCACGGCGGCGGCACCGCGATCAACCATCGGCATGGGTTCTCAGTCTGGACGACATTCACACCTCTTCACGCCCATCCCACGGAGTCAAATGATCTCTCTGGCCAATCCGCAGGCGAGTCCTGGTCGAGTGACACTGGATTCCGGCACGCCAGATATCGAAGAAGCCCGGGGGATCCCCAGCGGAGAGAATTCAATACACTCCATGATGCAACCCCATGATGCCTGTGCGCAGGTTACAATCTTCCTCCACCCACGCTCTGTCGACGGCTATCCTTGTTTCCCCACCAGCTGACACCCTCGCTCTTATCCCCGGGCGAGTTTTAAATAGCGCACGACATGGAACTGAACGTCGTTACGACCCTTTGCCTGGTCATGTGCGTACGGACACATGAGCACTCCACGGGATGCTCGGGACGCGCCACACCAGCTGTCTACTTAGACTCGCGGCCGTAGCGAGGCTTATCCGCGTCTTGTCCTCTGCCCCAAACACATCATGTCGCTGGAGAACGAGAAGGATAGTGGCGAGGTCGTGATGATAGAGACGACGGAGCGGGATATTGTCGGCGCAGAGTCCCCGCTTCCGGCAATCGGCACACCTGAGCGCGCCGCCGCAGAACGCGCCATCGTGCGCAAGCTCGACAGACGGCTGCTCCCGACTATCCTGGTCATCTACTTGATGAACTACATCGACGTGGGCACCCGATCCTGCGTTGTTCCTGCCCATCTGAATGCGTCTCCAGAGACAAAATGTCACCACTGCTCGGCTGAAGGGCCTGGAGCAGGATCTGGGACTCTCCGGTAACGCTCCCGCTGTTCATGCAACGCCTCCGTTGACCTTGGTTCCAGATATCCAATACAACGTGGTTCTGTCGATTGTCTACGTGTCCTACTGCCCGTTCCAAATCCCATCGAACATGGTCCGTGTTGCTCTCCGCACTCAATTTCTTTACTGACTAAGCCTCAGATACTCAATTACATCACGAGGTATATCATTTGCTCGTCGAAGTTGACGACAACCAACTCACGTTTACAGACCCTCCTGGTACATCGGGTCATGTGTTGTTCTCTGGGGACTGACGAGTTTGCTCACCGGAGTCAGTGGCTCACCTCTTTCACCGCATGTCTTAGTGACACGCTCTTCTCAGCTCACACATAATTACGCGGGAATTGTCGCGTGCAGGGTCAGCCTGGGGATTCCAGAGGTGGGCATTTCGCCTCTGTCCAGGAAGCTTTTGGGCTCACCCCGTCGCAGTCTGCTTTCTATCCTGGCGGTCAGTCCCGGCGAGCTACAGGGCCGTGCACAGCCTGACCATCCACCAGCCGTCTATCTTCTCTCCCGGTGGTACACCAAGAAGGTAGCGTGGCTCATTCTGCTTGAAGCACGTGGGGGATACTGACTTGGTTCGCGATAGGAGCTCGCGTTCCGAGTAGCTCTGCTATACGGCGCCAACTTGACTTCCAATGCTTTCGGCTCGGTGAGGCGATTTCAGTGGCACACATGCGGGCATTCACTCATCATTCGCACGCACAATCTAGCTTATAGCCGCCGGAATCCTGAGCAAAATGGAGGGTGTCCGGGGAATCCGAGCATGGCGCTGGTGAGTCATCCGGACAAACATCTTGCCGGCAAGTAACAAGACTGGATCGTAGGCTGTTCTTCATCGAGGGCGCTATCTCCATCGCCGTTGGGCTCATCGCGATGTCTGTCTCCATTTCGTCCCCGAAGTGACAACCTAACTGACTACGTCTAAGATGGTCGTTGCCCGACTACGTTCGTGTGCTTCTCGCCCTCCGATCTCGATGACTGAGATGCCGCACAGCCCAACAACACGCGATGGATCTCCAGCGACCAGCGGCGCCTCGCCCAAGCCCGGCTCGCGGACGATGCGGGTGAAGCCGACCAGGACAACGCCGGCGATACGTGCGTGGCCGCTCCCTCTCTGGGCTGATTCTCGCTTTTGACAAAAACACAGACCGCTTGCAGGCTTGAAAATGGCCATATGCGACCCGATTGTGTTGACATTTGCGATCATGAATCTCGCGCAGCTGTTCGGATTCAGCTTTAACAACTTTTGTGAGTTTATCTTGCCGTGCGTCATTCGCAATTTCGAATGACTGATGCATGTTCCAGTCCCGACGTAAATGGTTGATCCCTAAGAGTAACTAATGCAACGCTGACGACAAGTGCAGCCTCACAGCAACGTTCGGTTTCAGCACCACGATCAGTCTTCTGCTCGCAGCGTAAGTGTTTCGAGATGCACAGCAAGTTTCCTCCCCTCAATCTACATTCCAGCCCACCCTGGATCTTCGCGGCTTGTGTTTGCTGCCTGAATGCCTGGCATGCCGGTACGTCTTTCCAACAGTCTCTACAGCGCTGTCTCTCAACACATCAACATCAGACCGCACCGGAGAACGATACTTCCATCTTTCCGGCTGGTGGTGGCCTGTGATGGTGGGCTTCATCATCTCGCTCTCGACGATGTCTGTGGCCGGGCGTTACTTTTCCATGTTCCTGATGACTATCGGCTACGCTGGTGAGCTCTTGATTGCCTCCCCCGTCTCATCTTCCCTCTTCTGACCTTGGTGGGGTGCAGGATTCGCCATGACGGCCGTCTGGGTCTCGAATACGATCGCGCGACCACCCGCCAAACGCGCGGCGGCGATCGGCATCGTCAACGGTGTCGGAAACGTGGGGAACATGTGCGTGGCCTGGCTTGTGTCCTGCGATTCAGCCTCTGACAGCGATTTCTCACAGCATGGGCTCGTATACGTGGAAATCCAAATGGGGACCGCGCTACCACCAGTCCATGATCATCTCTCTCTGCTCACTCCTCTTCGCGTCTGCACTCGCGTTTGGGATCCGCCGCAATCTCATCGCCAAGAACCGGCGTCTCGCAGCGATCGAGAAATCGGATCTGCAGGGCGGCGACGAAGTGCGTGTCCGCGAGGCTGCGGTGCTGGAGGGGATTACTTTCGAGCAAGCGATGGAAAGGAGGAAAGGGTTCCGCTATCTGTACTAGGAAGTACTGTAAACTAGGAGAGGGTATGGAAATGTACGATATCTCGGTCATAATCGCCACAACGTGGTCCCACTCGCAGGCTGGTAATGCCACTTCCCCGTGACCTTATATCGGGCACTGAATGCGAGGCCATTCTCGATCCTGGCGCGGACTGCGGGTGTTGCCGCGATGTCGCGGTCCGCGTACCGGCTGAAGCGGACGCGCACCTCCACCAGCGTGGGCCGCAGCAGCACGAAACGCTCCAGGACCTTGTCCGAGCAGCTGATACTCCCGTCGCCACACTCGAGCACCTCGAGCTCGCTCGCGAAGCCCTCGCTGCAGGCCGCGCGGACCATGTCGTTCGTGAGCGTGGCCGAGGACGTGCTGCGCAGGCCGTCCAGCTTGAGCCTGCGCAGGCGCGGCGTTGCGCGGAGCAGCGCGAGCAGCGTGTCGTTGCTGAAGAACGCGGTGGACAGCTCCGCCGTCGCGAGCACCGCGAGGTGCGGCTCGAGCGACGCGAAGAACAGCGCGTGGTCCGGGCCGGGCATCGCCGGGTGCGTCAGCCGCAGGTGCGCGAGCGCGGGGAGGCCCAGGTTCGCGAAGAACACGGGCAGGTCGTTGCCCAGGTAGAAGTGCACCTCGCGCAGCGCGGACGGCGCGGCCGGCGTGCCGGAGGGGGGTAGGGCGGCCGCGGCGCCGGTGCCGGCGAGCGAGCCGAACAGCGTGCACCGGAGGACGGCCTTGCGCAGCGCCGGGCAGCGCCGGACGATGTCGAGGCAGTGGTGCACGGAGAGCCCGCCGGTGAGGTCCGCGCCGCCCTCGCGCGTCTGCAGGCACTTGAGGTCGAACTCGACGAGCGAGGGCGCGGGCAGGACGAGCTTCGCGGCGTCGGCGGAGATGCGCAGCAGCAGCACGCGCAGGCGCGGCGCGCGCAGGACCGCGGCGTCCGCCCACAGCGCGGACCCGAAGTCGGAGTGGCACTCGACGTGCAGCGTGTGGAGCGCGGGCAGCTCCAGCTGCAGGAACGACGCGACGGTGGTCGCGGGCACGGCGGCGGGGAATATGAGGCACAGATTCGCGATGTGCGACCACGCGTGGCGCGCGACGGCCTGCACGGGCTGCGTGTTCAGCTCGTCCAGCGTGGACGAGATGTACAGCGGGTGGCTGCCGCTCCGCGCGACCCACTCCAAGGCCAGGTCGACGAAGCGTCCGCGCTCGTCCTCCAAGACCCCGAAGTCACCCCGCCCCAGGTGCGGCACGTGCAGCGACGACCACAGCTCGGGGGTAGAGTGCGACACTCGCCGCCACTCGCGTGATACGTGTCCCAGACAGATCGGAGGCGTGCGCGGATCGACTAGCGCAGGGTACGCGGCGATACAGAAGCAGAAGATCTCCCCCAGAAGCTCGTCCGGAAGGCGCCGCACGAGGGACACCAGTGCCTTATGTTTCCCGATATCCGTCTCCAGCTCATCGCGCTGTGTGCACAGCGCGTGCAGTCGTTCCTCCACCTCCCGGATCTCGTGATTCAAGCGCCGCAGCTCATCGATGGGAGACACGAGAAAGCGGTTGATCCTTTCACGCTCGTCATCTTGCGGGACGTAGTTCGTGCCGAGCAAGTCAGAGAACGGTGAGTTGGGCAATGACATCGTGGTGATCGACGATGCTCTGGCATTAGTAGGCCGCAAGGGAAGTGGCAGTGATGCCCGGGCCGGCTGACTCCGGAGGGGCTATGCTCAAACGCGGTCCCGTGATCGGTCCATGATCAATATGAGTTCAATAGTCGCCAGCCACGCCCTGAGCACACCGTGCTTGCGGAGGAGCACGATATGGTGCGTTTAGAAACCCTCCAAGCTTCGCTGCGGCACGTTCTCGAGATGAACAATCCGGTGAGCTTTGCTTGCCAATTTCATAAGTACAGCACTAGCTCATCAAATTCTAATCACATGCCTACAGGCTGGTCACACGCACATGCCTCCTCCAGCTCTGCGATCAACTAGAGCCAGGAAGAGCCTCTGAATGTGATCAAAGGTCTCAAAAGTATCAGGCTAGCCCTCGGAGGGTCTCGGGTGACTGCCGTAGAGTCTACATTGATCGCCAGAAAACTGATTTCCTCAATGCCGACCACTGTTTTCTTAGGCGCAGCAGTACTCTGCAGATGCACAAACCGGTAAATAAATACTTTCCCTTGACTCCCAGCTTAGTTGCTCCAACATAAGTGGGGCAGTCACGAGCGGTCAGCATCCTCACGCCTAGACACGAATCACAGCCACAACCCGTGATCGACTCCGGACTCTGCACTCACCATCATGGCAATGCACCTGATCCCCGACTCGATACACGCGTACCACTCCGCATTCACTACGTGCCCAGCCCTCGCCTCGCCGAGACTCCCGCTGCACACGCTGGACGACGCGGATCTGGGCGTCCACAACGTCACGTCCCGCACGACGCACCGCCTCGTCGCGCCGCCGGATTCCCATACCGGATCCGACTCCGACTCGGAGGACTCTACCGCACCGGCGCGCGCGTGGGAGGCGGTGTACCCGGCGGGCAGCATCAATCCTTCTGGCGCGATCCCGGGTGGATTCGGGTTCTACGTGGCGGGCGCGGGCGCGTTCGCGCCCGCCTTGGAGGGCGGGGCGCAGCACGTCGTGGTTTCGTACAGGATGATGCTGCAGGGCGGGTGGGAGTGGGTCAAGGGCGGGAAGCTGCCTGGGATATGTACGTGTCCGGTCGTCCAGCTGTGGCTCGCAGGTTCTGCGCGCTGAGACTCCACGGCCAGTTGGTGGTGATGGGAAGCTGTCGTACGCGTGCACCGGGGGTAGGAAAGACAACCGGTGTAAATGCTTTAATATTCGGCCGATGTGGAGGTTCGCCTTGTCCCATATGCTACTGCGGTATACCCGCGCTCACGGGAGGCCGTCACTCTAGGGCGAACGGCCAGGGGGAGCTCTACACGTACCTACCCCTCACCGATCACAATCGCGAGCGTCAACTCGCCGTCCCGCCGACATCGAAAGCCAACCCCGATTACGGATTCTCGCTCGGCCGCGGCGCGTTCAACTTCGATGTCGCGGTGGGCAGGTGGGCCACGGTTGCGTTCCGGTTGAAGCTCAATACCGTCGGGAGCGAAGATGGTTGCGTGCATTTAAACCATGGCAGTCCTCCCGTTTCTCATTCATGTCAAGGGGAACTCGAGTTCTGGATCAATGGGCGATCGGTTATCAAGGTGACGGGGCTGATGTTGCGGGACTCTGAGGCGTCACGGATCAAGGGCGCGCATTTTCAGACGTTCTTTGGCGGTGCGCTGATCCAACGTCGCTCTGATCTAGCTCATGTTTTTCTACGCAGGACATACCGAGGATTGGGCATCGCCCAAGGAACAAAAGGCGTGGTTCGCTGATGTGACCGGGCTGATAGTGGAATGAAGAGCTTGGATCGATCGAAATGGGAAGGGCACTAAACACTGATCACAACTGCGTCAACCGAGACCGTCATGATTCAACACTGCGACCCATCATGGCTCTCCTCTGGAGTCAGCACGACATCTTGCATGTCGTCGTCGGCCTCCCTCGAGGGACCCGGGACATCGCGTTCTCTGCGACGCTTGCTCTCAAACACCTGCAACCCGCGTCGCCGATTGCTCGCTAGGGGGCTCGAGTCCACGGACCCGACTTCCGGCGTATCGGGATCGCCCGGTGGACCTCGGCGGGGTGTGCTGAGCAGCGTGTCCTCGGCGCCGGGCGGGGCGTTGTCGTGCGGGGCGGTGTATGCGGGCGGCGGGGCGGCGATGGCCTCCATGCCGAGCCCGAAGTACGGGGAGAGCAGGTACGCGTTGAGGGGGGAGGACGGGACGGGGGGCTTCTCGACCAGCGTCGCGGACGAGTCGGCGAACGGCTTCGTGGCTTTGCGGTTGTGCGTGAGCAGCAGGGGCTGTGTCCGGGCGTCAATACGTTTCGTCGATGCGCATGTGACGCTGTGAGCCTGAGCCACTTGCCTTGAGTGGGGCCGTTCTTTTTCTGAACGTGCGCGCCCGCATAAACGCGCAGATGGCGCACAGACTGGCTACGAGCATAAATCCGAGGATGGGAATGACGAATGCCCAGCGAGGAAAGTCCTTCGACTGCTGCTGCTGCTGCTGCGCTTGCACATCGCGCACAACCTGGTTCAGATGAGATTCGGGTGATGTCGACATGGTTTCAGGGTGAGGTGGGGTGTCTTGGAAGCGGGAGATATCGCTTATATAGGTGGCGGATGCGTTGTGAAATAGGAGCCGCTGGAGTGAGACAGTCTCATGCGTCGAAAATCAACGCGCAGAGAGGATTTGGTGGTATTTATGTCTTGAGCATGCATGTTCTCGAAACACCTGCTGTACAGCAGACTGAATATCATACCCCCGGTCGTCAAAAGTGGAACAGCAGGTCCCGTGATCGATGTCCACATCCACGTGCTGACATCGGGAGTTGCCGACTGTTGGGATTGCACCCACTGCCACTAGCCGCGGGCAACAATTCGGGCTGACCCACCCGTTCGGGCAGAGCCCATGTTATTTCTAAGTGGTCATTCTGAGGGCAGGAAATAGACACACCTGACGACCGATTAGGTTCACTGTCCCTCAGTATGATGTCGATGAAGGAGAGGAACTTCTGATGAAGAAACGTCCACGCGGCCAGGTCTTCTCCGTTTGAAAATCCTCTGAGAGCAGCACACTTTGCGTATGCAGCAGCGGTGATTGGCGGCGGAAGACGTGATGGGCGGTCTGATGAGGGCCCTGCTAGAAATCCGCGAGCAAATTTCGATCTCTCATCCCATTGTCGAGCTGTCTGCCGCATGTCACACTCTGGCCTTTCACACGACGGCGGAGGAGGTCGGATGACTCTCTGTAAAAAAGCAGCCGTGCTGCCTTGCGTTCGACAGTGGGGACTCACCGGCGGATGGGAGGAGCAGAACCGTAGCGAAAGGTGAATGTGAACTGTCTGTTGATCATCGACAACACGGCCGCCGCCATCAACAACTTGCAACCCACCATCGATCCATTCGGTAGCAGGATAGCCAACTGGCCGCCTGGGCTGTCCTAGGAGATTGCGGCCTTGCCACACCGCACCTCACGCCGTCCTTGTCCCCAGTGCAGCATATCTCTGGGGCAAACGTGCCAATTTGATCCCCCCACTGAGCTGTACTGCGAATCCTATGGGAACACGGCGCAAATTTGTTTTCGTTTGCTCACACTGATCAGGGTTCTCGCACTAGGCGAGGGCTTCGAAGTTTTGTGGTGGGAAACAGGGGCTGGCGGATGTCCAGTTCTACTTGAGAGATTGGCCAAATGCGGGGTTAGAAGTGCTCTTCGATTTGTATCGATCCCAAATGTAATACCGCCTCGTTGTGCATCATTTCGTTCGACCACAGCTCGAACTGAGACCTGCATTGCGTGCACGCACGTGAGCAGCTGTCGGCCGATCATGTGGTCCCTCTCGGCCTCCCATATCGGCTTCCGCCGCCGATGACGGCTTGACTGCCATGGCCTTCCCCTCCATCTTCACGGACAAGCTGGGCACCAACTACGCTCCGAATGACCAGGAATCCTCGCAGATCCGGGACCTCCTCCTCGCGCCGTCCGCCAAGATAGCGCAAATCGACCTCGAGATCGCCGCACTCTCCGTCCGGCGCAGCGAGCTCGCGCGCCTCGTCGCCGCGCACGCGGCGCTGCTGTCGCCCATCCGGCGCCTCCCACCGGACGTGCTGCGCGAGATCTTCCTGTGGTGCCTCCCCACGAGCCACCACCCGACGATGAGCGTGCGCCATGCGCCGCTGCTGCTCGGCCGCGTGTGCGGCCTGTGGCGCGAGGTCGCGCTCGCGACGCCGCGCCTGTGGGCGCGCGTGCACATCGTCGAGCCGCGGATGGACACGGCGTCGCAGCGCCTCGTCGACGGGTGCCTGCAGCTCACGGAGATGTGGCTCGCGCGGTCGGGTGTGCTGCCGCTCGAGATCTCGTTCCACCGCAGTCCGCCCCGGCCGCGCGGGCCCGCGATTCTGTCGCAGTTTCCGGGTGGTGGCGGTGTTGTTGGTGGTGGTGGGGGCGGTGCTGGTAGTGCAGTGAAGGAGCCGTCCGCCGGCTGCTCGGTGTTTATGGACACAGTGCTCGGTGTGAAGACGCGGTGGAAGAACCTCGTGCTGTCGGGCTGCACGCAGAGTCCGCTGCCGGTATCCGCGTGCGATGTGCCCAGGCTGGAGTCGCTCGAGATCGCCGAGTTCTGTGTGACGGGGGAGCAGCCGGCGGCGTCCCATGCGGTGTTCTCTGCGCCCAATCTGCGCAAGCTGACGCTGGCCACGCGTCTCGATCCGACGACCCTTCCTATACCCTGGGCGCAACTCACCTCGCTCCACCTCGCTCCTATCTACTCGCAGAATCTCGAGCAGGCGTGGTCGCTGTCGAGCTCGATGGTTATCTACATCCTGTCGATGATGTTCAATCTGCGCGAATGCACGCTGCAGATGACGCTCGAGAACGGCGAAATGGACACCGAGGAGTCCCCGCCGCCCGTCCACCTTCCGCTCCTCCGGTCACTAAAACTCACCCTCTCCCTGCGGGGGATGACGGGCAGGAACACGGACCCGCTCACTCGACTGGTGTTGCCGGGTCTCACGACGTTTGTGTTCCTCGGGTACACACTGAATGTGCTCAGCTTCCCGCTTGCGACCAGCCTCATCAGCAAATCGACGAAACTGTCTGACGTCGAGATCGAGACGATGCTGTTCGACAGATCCTCGCTCACGGAGTTCCTGGAGATCCTCCCGCCGACGACGAAGCGGCTGTGCATGCGGCAGAGCGTGCTGGGCCGCGGCGCGCCGTCGTCCGTGGACGGAGATGTGCTCCGGCTGCTCTCTACGCCAGTTCTATCACCGGAGGACAGTTCCGACGAAGGCGATGACGACGACGATGACGACGACGACGAGGCCGACGACGATGATGATGCCGATGGGCGTGGGCAGTCGAGTCACAGCGTCCCTCCGATCCCGCTCCCGTACCTGGAATCGATCGAGTTCCTGCACGCATGCGACTTCTCGGACGACGAGCTCCTCCAGTTCATCCTCCCGCGCGTGCGGAACGCGCCGTGCGCCCTGCGGCGCGTGAACGTCGTGTTCTTCCGGCTGCAGGAGGTGGACATCATGGAGCCGCTGCGGGAGTACGTCGACGGGCTCGGGCTGAAGATGAAGCTTGACTATATCAAGCAGCAGTCCGGGTGGCATCCGAAGCAGGGGCTGCAGCAGATGGGGTCGAGGAGACCGTGGTATGGGACTGCCGTGGATCTATTCGATTGACGTGCGGGCGAGTTCCCGGGATTCGGAATTCACGGTTGTATTCAAATGTGTATATATGCCAGACCTTATATCTTATCCATGCACTTCCATTAGCTCCTCTTTCCTTTGTACGCTAGAAAATTATCTGCGCCGGGCAACGTAGCTAGAGCATTCCCGTCGATGATCCAGATGCGGGGGACGGACACTGTGTACCGGTGGCTTCCAAACGAGCGATCGCAACCAGTTGTCCGAGACGTAGATTTGTGGTATAACTGAAAAGACCTTGGGGTGCATCTCTGTCGGTTTGCGTTCAAACGTATTGATTGATGTGCCCATGGGAGGAAAGGATCAATCTGCACTACGGTGCGTCCCGAGCCTGACACAGAGCCCGAAAGTCTCCGACTGTTTCTCAAGGAAGCGGAATTGATGTCCGGGTCGAGGTTTCATCGATGGGGTGGCGCCTCCAGACTGGTCCGCGCGGCATGCACCTCGCTTGTATAGGTGAGTCGGAAAAATCATGCTTGCACATTCGGAGAAAGGTGTCTTGCAAGAGCTGTGTTTTCAACCGGTCTCACCTCTCACTTCTTCAAACCGCACGTGACATTTCATTGCACAAATTATGCACGTGGCTTGATTTCTGATGTCGTTCCGTTTCATTCCGACAGTGCTGTGCGATGCTCATGAGAGACGTGATTTTTGTCAGCTTGACAGATTGAGTTCCAAAATATTGGGGGATTTTGATCTAATGGTGCTTCTCAATCGAGTTTACGCCTCATTGACCGTGAGTTCTGCGTCATTGAGGAGCAATGCGGAGGCGCTCGGACGCGTCCGGACCATTCTGCGAAGTAAAATAGCCGCTCTTGACATATCTCGTGAGATATTCAACAGCAAAATAGCAACCGATTGAGTTTGGATCTCGTTTGTCACGAGTGAAAGCACTACTTACGCTGTACAGTAGGCCGCTGACTTTTGTAAGGAACTCGAGAAACTGGGTGATGCGAGTTCATCTCAAGTCCCCTCACTCTAGATAACAGATACTGAGAGAATTCGAGCGTATATTATTTGTTAGGTAACGCAGGGGACAGGATGTTTGCTAATTCTTCTTAGCAGTAAGTCACTAGTAGGTGCCTCCCGAGATCTGAGAGGAAATATCAGTCGTATGTAGGACCCTGCTGCGATGACGGAGCTGACCGTAGCCTTGTCAAGGGAGAGCTTGTGACCCTCCCCAGCGGAAGTGACGTCGAGCTCGGACCAGTCCCAGGTGCCAGAGCAGGCGCCGCAGTTCACAACCACGGAGTAGGCAGTCGAGTCGACAGCGAGAGTGGTCTTGGCGCCGGTGAACGCAACCCCGGAGATGGGACCGCCGGTGCCGACGGTGGAGCCGTCCTCGGTCGGGTAGCTCTGCGAGATGAGGATTCCGTAGTCGCTGATCCCAGACAGCGTGTTCCTGTGCGTCGATGATGGTCAGCGGACATGTGTTCGACGGCAAAGGATGTGCACTCGCCCCGAGTACGTCGCCCCCGAGACCTGGGCGCTCGTCGCGTCCGCGTCGACCTTGATGCGCAGCCCGTACTTGCTGTTGCTGACCGTGTTGCCCGTCGCGCGGAAGTTCGTCACTGATTTGCCGGACACGATGGATCCAATCGAGATGCCGTGCCCGCCCGTGCACGTCGTGTTCTCGATCAGCACGCTGTCGCCCGAATTGACCGCGACGCAGTCGTCCTGGTTCGTGACTTGGCACTGGGAGACGGTGACGGAGTCGGCGCTGATGTCGAAGCCGTCGGTGTTGTGGCCGAGGGAAGCGCCGGCAGCTGGGAAGGAAGTGTTCTGTCAGTGTCCACGCTGAGCATGTGGACGGCCTCACAGTTGTCGACCGTGACCTGCTGGATGGTCGATGTGTCCGTGGTACCGACCGAGATCGCTTGGGCGGGGGTGTTCAGAACCGTCACGGACGAGAAAGTGCCGTAGCCTTTGAATCTGGACGGCATGAGTGGATTTTCCGGCAACGTCAATCCCCAAGTTAAACGCACTTCACCAAAGGATGGGGTTTGAAGGATCCTCCGTTGGTGCCCTGGCCATCCCAGTATAGAGCGCCGTTGCCCTGGAAGCAAGTGTAAGAAATATCGAGACAGGAAGGAACACGGAGACTCACATCGATCTTGTTGTTTCCACCGTTGAAGTTGATGTTATCTGTGTCGAAAGTGATGAGCGGGCCGCTCGCTGCAAAAGGCGTCAGTAAAGGAGCAGGTCAAGCTTCAAGGAGCGTGACGTGCTGGTGGTCTGTGCAAAGGTGATGTCGCCAGTCATCGTGACAGTGGCACCGCTCGCCGCCTGTAGATAGAGATCGTCAGAACGCTCCAAGGAACTGGTGGCAAAAGATCACAGACCGCGATCGTGATCGTGTCGCCGGCGGGGACAGTGAACGCCTCGATGACAACGTCTGTGCAGCTAGAAAGCCCAGACGCGCTGGCGACGCTGTTTACAGTGCAGGTGGCGCGTTTGGCGGTATCCGTTTGCGAGGGAGCCGCGGACACGAACGCGGCCAGCACAACAAAGCTGAGGAGACTGGATCGGATAGACATTGTTGGGACTGAGAGAAATATTGGTTTCTGGATGGATGCTCTCTCTCTCCGTAGCCTACCAGCTTTTATACGGTCTTGCCATCCGGTCCTGCTCAACCCATTCGTCAAGCCAGTGTAGTCAATAGACACCGCGCCCGCATCTCGCACAAATTCTAGGGAGGTCGAGCACTATCTTTAGGTGCGGGTCTCGGTCGGTATTGACGCGGGGACCAGCCCATCAGGCATTTCGAGCGCAAATGGTTGAGGACAGAACCGAAAGAAGCATTGATTCGGTATCATCCGATCATCAATATTGTAAACGAGTATTAGTCAGGAGACCCGATCTCGTTACAAGATTAAATTAGAGACACAAATAAGCACGTAGCCCTGGGATATAATTAGATGTATCTTTAGTGACGGGTGTGATGTGAGAGACTATGAATACTTACGCCTCGAGCTCTGGGTTCAATGGATCGATCGATGATGCCTCGGAAAAGCTATCTAGATTTCTAATTCAAAGGACCTCCAGGCTTGTGGTAACTCAAGATCGAGCCAAAGTACGACCTCTCAATAATTTACGTCGATTGAAATTTTGAGCTACAATTGATTTCGGAAGTCCAGGGGAGCTGGGGACCATGTGACGCTGCGGATGACGCTGCGCCGGAGCAATATTTGAATTTAACTAGTCAGCTCTGACGCCGGCTTAGATGTCTGTTGCGGCTAACTACTCGATATACAACAGCTTATTTCTATGACACACCTTCTTTGAAAATTCCGTCGGACATGGGGGAATACCGATTCCAGATCCATCCCCAGCGCCGAGACTGGTCATCGCAGTGCTGCAGCTCCCAACCTGCGCTTGTCGCAACTTTCTCGAAAAACACAGGGACGACCTCCGGATGACAATGACATGCCGGTCACAAAGGGCCTTTGCGAGACTTCTTGCCTTGCTACAAGTCTCATATCCTCGTTTCACATCTAGAGTTTGACTTTCCAGTCACAGGCTCAGCTTGAAGCGCACAAGAGATGCTTTTTTGTATCTAGAGAAGTTGAGTTGATCTGCCGACCCCCGAGCTCCCAGTGTTTCTCCTCCCGGCAATAAATTAACTTGAGCATTGTAGGCTTGTCATAGGGGCCACTCAGCACTCGACGTCAGCACTCTGACAAGAATTTATTATTTGAGACTCTTGACCGGGGCCCAGAGAAGCGCAGTAGGCTCGAGCCGATTCTCGCACTCTCATTATCTTTGTCCCGGTCGAGCCTCAGCAGGGCGCATGCATCCTCAGGCCTCAGGTCTGAAACATGCAATCAAGTGCTCGGGCGTCGGTGCCCCAAAAAACGCTTAGGTCTATTTTCCTGCTCGGGCAGTGAGAATGCCTCCTCCCCCCTAGACTTGTCGCCGAGTATCCCGTCCCGACTGGGATGCAGTGAAGGATTGGGCGGTAGTCGCTATTATTGGTACTTGATAGACTGCACGGGTAACTGCCCGAGTCTGATGAGTTCAGGAGACCGCTATCAGTGCCCGGATCCTGAAATCTGAAGATTTGATCCACCCTACCAAAATTCCTGCCCTCACATTAGACAAGCTGTCTCGCGTGGTGCCCCGATCCTTCGATTCGTGCTGACTTGTCCCAAATAGCGCGAATTGTGAAACAATCGCCACATTGGGACTCGTAGAATCTTTTTAGACAATGCCGGACTCCGGAATGGGATCCACGTGGATGAGTACATCTATTTTCAACTGGATTTCTCGCCATAGTTCAGATGTAAGGTCTGGTGATATTATTTTTTCGATGGCTCTTCTTGATCAGTCCACTAAAAATCTGGGAATTGTATGTCTCATGCCACCTGTGATGTTCCTCTGAAGCCCCTCAGGACAACCACGAACACGACTGAAAATTTGACCTCCAAGACCGATTGAGGCTTCAATCCAATTATTTTCCCTGTGAGACGACCGGGAAATCATGTTTTATGATTGCCGCTCATTGATTGGTGGGCAAACTCGACAAATGATGCCAACAGTCAAACACTAAGAATGAGTGCTCAATTCTTAGGTCGTTCATCCGTTCATCCGTTCATCTGTTCATCAGCTTATAGAATTCCTGATGGTCACTGATTTTCCTCCTTGGCAGCTTTGAGCTTGAGCAGTCATACACGTCTGAAGAAGCGTGAGGCTGCGGGAACAGTGAATCTTTGGGTATCTGTCGACTTGGATTTTCGATGTGCTTTCAGTCAGCTCATAATCACAGTGGACCGAGTCTGTTCTCGATATTCGACTTTTGCTGGCCTTTTGATCATCACTCAAAATGGGGATCAATTAGTGTTTATATAAGCTGATGAACAATATGAACGGATGAACGGATGAACGACCTTAGAATTGAGCAGCCCTACTTGGTTGCGTATTCATATATAGAAATTCGAGGCCAGATCAACTGGCGCGATGGAGAGAATGCCCCTCAAGTTGGTGAGAACGAGGCTTCACTCCGCGTGAGCTTAATGGGTCCAGGAAAGCTATGTGTTCGAATCTGAGAGCCGCTCAATTTTTTATCTTACAGATGGAATATCTGAAAGGAAAACTGAGGAAAACTATCTTTTTGCTTCGAAAAATGCGGTCGAACGTCGAGCGTACCTCTGACCTCGAGTTGCACGACAAATCACGTGTACGTGAGAGCGGCTGACACTGACGTAACTTCCCACCGGAAGCCGCCCGGGCCGCTTGCGTCACTGACACGATCGCACTGACCGTGGCACAAGCTTCGGGCCTTCTCCCTCCTCACACGTCCAGCAATCGGCGAATGGGAAGGCTGAGATGCCGAGTTGCGTGCGCATGTGCTGAGCCCTTCGGCTCCGTCTCGGGTGTGACCAAAATACTTTCAGAACTGCAGAGATGTACCATCGCGGGACCGACGACTGCGCAGAGACCTTAGACCGTTTCGGAGCGAGCTTCCTTACTCTTCCTGAGTCCCCAGAATCAGAGAAGACGGTCGAAACTGCTCACGGCGGATCGATTGGCGCGTATTGGAGAAGCGAGCCGCCTTTTCTTTCGAACCTCATAGCTCCATCGATGAGAGTCGGATCTCACACACGCGTTTGCAAGAGTAGGCACTGTCGAAGTGCCTGAAGCCAGAAGCTCCCGTTTACCGAGTTGTGCCACAGCTTGCGAAGCAATTGGTTGCGGGGCGAGCTAACTCGATTCGTGCTGATACCAACGATGCAGCATCGCAAGGATGTAGGACCGCCATGCTTCCACAACTCTTGACTGCATACGGCAAGAAAGGGTTGCACTCCTGAAGTATAAGAACAGTATCTTGTCCCTCTCCATCGCCTTGCCGCTTGCGGAATGAAAAGGTCGTGCCTAACACGACAATCTATCGCTTTGCTCTCAGTCGTCTCGGACCTCTCCCCCGATCGAACCCTCCTGCCCACCATCCTCCCGCGAATCGTCAAGCTAAGCGCAGAGATTTGAGCGAATTCGGACCGGCATGACCTCCCTAGCAGCGCCAACCGGCGTTTAATCTCGCGTTGGGTGGGGCAAGAGTCTGGACCCTATCATCTCTCAAGTTCGCCGTCCAACCCAGACAGACGGATCCCGTTGGTGGTTGGTGTTCCCAGTCCTCAGAAGCCAATTCACGTTGAGCACGATCGATACGAATGTCGGCCCGCGTATGTAGAGGACGATATCGGAGAAAGCCGCTTTGCACGCGTTCCTGTGCGCTAGGCACGGCGGACGGAAATGACCCAAAAGCTTATTGTCGTAGTCGTATCCAAGAAACATTCGGCAGTCCTTTGTTGTGTTGGTCGCGGTGAATGAGGCTGGTTTGACAAAAAGACGGGCCAACGCGTCGCGCGGCACGTGTATCTCGGCAAAAAGTGAAAAAGTGAAGTGATTTGGGACCGATTTCTTCCTCTCCTCCTCCCACCACACTACATTAATAACTCTATCTGCTCTCTGCAACAGGTACGTAGCGTTGCGCCATCCTGTTCTTTTGACCCCGCTTGTTCCTGATCGTGAATCTTCGCTATAGAGCGATGGATCTTCAAACGCTTTCGAATCTCTACACCGCGACGCTGAGCAGCAATCCTAATGAGCGCCGCGCTGCTGAGCTTGATATCCGCAAGGTATGCATATACGCGCTCCATCTAGTCATCTATTCGTGTCGTTGGCGTCCATTCCCAGCCTCATCTCCCCCATCTTCCTTGACTTACTACGATATGCTCATGCCACCTCTTCATTTCAGGTCGGCAATGAAACGGGGATGGTTTCAGCCCTCCTGCAAATCATCGCAACGGACAATATCGACATGTACGTGAGATCTCGACGCGCCTGGCCTCCTTCCCTGTGCCACTCGCACCCTACGCTCACTCATCACATCCCCAGATCGACCCGCCAAGCGTGTGCAGTATGGATGAAAAACCGCGTGCAAAGCGCTTACGCCCTGCCCGAATCCGGCGCCAACCCTCGGCGACCGGACGCACCGACCATCGCCGCGTCCGATCGCGATGCCCTCCGCAGCCACCTCCTCCCCCTCCTCGCTGCCGCCCCGTCGCGAAGTATCGCGCTCCAGCTGGCAAGCACGCTCAAGGGCGTGATCGCACACGACTTCCCTGCGCGATGGCCAGGGCTGGTGGACACGATCAAGGCGCTGCTGGGAAGCGGGGAGGTGAGGCAGGTACATGCTGGATGTGTGGCTTCGTTGGAGGCTGTCAGGGCTTTCCGGTGCGTTTCCTCGCGCGTCTCGGTACCACTAGCTTTCTTATGGGTGCATCGATTCTGGCAACAGATTCCGTCAGAAGAACGACGTCCTGCCCATGCTTGTGGAAGGCCTCTTCCCTACCCTAGTCTCCATCGCAAACCAGATGCTGCAGACCCCACCGAGTGCTGCGCAGGAGATCCCGACGATGATGCACTTGATACTGAAAACGTACAAGACCTCATTGGTGGTGCATTTGACTGCCCACCAACAGGCGGCCGAGAGTCTCGTGCCCTGGGGACAACTGCTGTTTGCGGTAGTCAATCTGCAGATCCCCAAGGATGCTGTGCCGGAAGATGTTGAGGAACGGGAGAAGAGTGAGTGGTGGAAGGCGAAGAAATGGGCGTATGCCATCTTGGGCCGTCTGTTCCATCGGTGCGCACTGCAGACCCTGTTCTCTTCACAGGAACTGAGCGCACTTCACAGCTTCGGTAATCCGTCACAGCTTCCCTCTGCGATGCAAGCCGAGTACGGTGCATTTGCGCAGCACTTTGTCACTGTGTTTGCCCCCGAGATCCTTGGGATCTACCTGCATCAGGTTGATCTTTACGTTAGCGGCCAAGCATGGCTGTCCAAAAAGTGCCAGTACCACATCTTCACGTATCTGACCGAATGGTGCGTATGTTTCTACGACTTGTGAACTGGATCTGATTGCTGCGACAGCATCAAACCGAAGTCCACTTGGACCCTCTTGAAGCCCCACGCCCAAAAGCTCGTGGAAACGTTCGTGTTCCCGCAACTGTCGTTCAACGATGATCGCCGAGAAATGTGGGACTCGGACCCGGTTGATTATGTTCGCGTCGCAGTCGGTACGTCTCAACCCTCCTGAGCACATCCTCCCTCTCACCGACGCGTTTCAGACGAATATGAAAGTTTCCAGACACCAGTCTCAGCCGCGACCTCGTTCATCTTCTCGCTCGCCTCGAACCGGACCAAGTCCGCGTTTATGCCGATCCTCGGCTTCGTGAACTCGATTCTGCGCTCGTCGGCGCCGGCACCGCAGCGGTTCGGTGCGCTCAACATGACCGCCGCATTGGGGCCCTGGATCATGCGGCACCCGGAGGTCAGCACGAACATGGAGGGCTTCATCCTGCAGTTTGTCACGGCAGAGTTCTCCAGCCCAGAACCGTACATGCGGGCCATCGCGTGTGAGGTGACGGGGACCTTCGTCAAGGAAGGCTTGAAGTGGACTTCTGATGAGGTGCGTTCTCCGATACGGTCTTTGTGATACCGCTGTTAAGGCGCACACACACACAGAACTTGAACGTGCAATCGCGTGCTGTAGCGGCTGCGCTGGACGATGTCGAGCTGCCCGTGCGTGTGCAGGGTGCTTTGGCGCTGACGGAGATGATCGTGCTGTACGAGTCTGGTGGGTGCCGCCGCTCGTTTGTCGATTGCTTCGTTTCTGACGAGATCAGTCCGGACTGCTGTTGCACCCCAGGTCGGCAAGGTTGTCCAAGACCTGCTCAAGCTGTCAGACGAGACGGACCTGGACATCTTGAACCACAGCATGGAGGTCATGGTCGAGGCGTTCCAGGCTGAGCTGTTGCCCGTTGCGGCCCAGCTGACTGCCCGCCTGGTGTGTGGTGGCATTCTTCTATGTGTCATTCTTCCGCAACTCACCGCGTCTAGTGCGATTCTTACACCCGACTGATCAAGGAAAGCCTCGAAACAGCGGTCCCCGTCGGTGACAGCACCGATGTTGATTCCCTGCTTGCCAGCGCCGACGACGATAAGACCTATGCTGCGATGGGCATCTCGAAGACCATCGGAACAGTTGTGTCCAGTGTCGATTCGTCGGCGGAGATTCTCGCGCAGGTGCAGGAGGTCATCATCCCGATCATCGTGTACACTCTGGAGAACAAGATTCTTGGTGAGTGTTCATACCACTAGAGGGATACCGATCCGCTCATTTTTTTGTGGAGATCTGTTTGACAACATGTACGACCTGGTGGACAGCTTGACGTTCAAGCTCCGCAGCATCTCGCCGAACTTGTGGCAGGTGTTTGAGTTGACGTACAAGTTGTTCAAGGCTGACGCCGTCGATTTCCTTGAGGGTGCGTGTGGTTGTTGAGGTATGAGACATCGCATTTGACTCGGGAGCGTACAGAGATGTTGCCCTCGTTGGACAACTTTGTCTCCTACGGCAGCGACGTCATCAAGGCCCGTCCTGAATACCAACAGATGCTCTTGGACATCTACACGACTGCGATGACGAACGATCAGCTGGGCGAGAACGACCGGGTGAATGGGTGCAAGCTCGCAGAGTCGATTCTCTTGAACCTCCGTGGCAGCGTCGATAGTGTGCGTTGTCGTCTCCCAACTTTCTGCAGCAACGCATCTGACTGCTTGTCAAGGCCCTGCAATCGATCATCACTGCTGCGCTTAACCAGCTAGACAAGAGCGAGACGGCCTCCCTGCGCCTTGCGAATCTGGAAGTGCTCATCAACGCGGTGCTGTACAACCCAGTCGCCGCGCTGCACCTGATGGAGTCGATCCAACCCGGTGCTGCGCGCGTGTTCTTCGATCACTGGTTCGCTGCGATCAAGGAGCAGGCTTCGAAGCTGCCGCGCGTGCACGACAAGAAGCTGACGATCGTGGCGCTGTGTGCGCTGCTCGAGATGGATCCCGCTGGCGTGCCGGACAGCGTCAAGGACGGGTGGCCCGGCATCGTCGGCGCCATTCTGCAGATCTTCAAGGACCTGCCCAAGGCCGTGCAGGCGAGGAAGGAGCTGGAGGAGGCGGACGACGAGGACGAGGATGAGTACGGCGAGGAGAAGATCTTGAACATGAACGAGGACGACGGTGCGTGATGTCTGTTCTTGCTGCCATCGATGGGCCCTGACATCCACACAGAAGATGTCTGGGACGAGGACTCGGCGTACCTGGAGCTGCTTGCCAACGAGGGCGCGCGGCTGCGCGAGAAGACGGCGAAGGTCGAGGCCGGCGAGGACGACGACGACGACGATGACGACGACGACATGATCCAGGAGGAGCTGGGGTACTTCAGCGCCCTGGACAACGTGAATCCGTATGTGAGATTCAAGGAAGCTCTGACGGGTGTGTGACCATTGCGCTTTCGCGTTTTCCCGATCGCGGCGAGCTCACTGTGACCGCGTGCTTCTCGATGCAGGCTTCCAGATGCACAACGGTGCGGCGTACCAGGCGGCAACGACGGCATTGTCACTCGAGCAGCAGACACTCTTGATGGAAGTCATGCGTATAGCAGAGATCCCCCAGGCGTGAAACGGGGAGGGGGGTCATTTGATCGATACGATACGTATCGATCGCTCTTCCATCCATCCATCGACCCCATACACTTTTCATGGCGCTATCGTAGATGACCCACCCTTTTTTTTTTTACCTCGCTTCAATGCTGTTTATAACGACGAATGGGTGCGCGCGGGCTCGATATATCTGACCCTTACAATACATGGCAGGAATGGTGCAATAGGATAGGAAATGGAAACGGAATCATGAGTCCTGCGACGGTTCGCGCTGTCAGATGGTCGTGGTGGTGGTGGTGCATCGAGAGTCTCGGCTCGAGGCTTCCGCTTTACACATGCCACGGCCCACGCGCGGACGGACCCTGCGTATTCACATTCACAGTATCAGATGGCATTGCGTCGGGCGAGAAACAGTCCGGACTGGCAACATTCATTCTGAGAAGTTCTCGTAAACTGTATCTATCTCAAAGAACGAGTCTGCTCAAGCCTGGGAACCTGCTGCTGCTCCCCGAAATGCACGTGACTGGACTGAATGTGAGGATTGTACAGGGAGCAGCATGAGTCCCACGTATCCACCACGGCAGTCGCACTCCCGGGTACTCGAAGGCGGATTGAGATGAGCATGCGATCGATTCGTTCCCCGGGGGCCCGTCTTCTCCTTCTCCTTCATGTGCTGCAGCTGCAGGCTGCCGTCGGCGCTCAGAGTCGGCTGTACGAACGAACCCCACACCCGGAGGTTATCTGATAACCCCGGGGGTGCCTGGTATCTGATATGATGGGGGATGGGATGGTCTATTAGGTTATTATGCTCCACCGGGCCCTCGCCGAGATCGCCGCGTGCGCTTCTCTTCCGCCTGTGTAGGGGGACCACAAGGGTCGCGGGGCATGCGACCGGGGGTGCAGACTTGGCTTGTCGGGACGCGGGACGCGCGCACATGGTCCGGGCCATGCATGCGTATGCGCATGCATCGGACATCCCATCCCATCTCGTCTCACAGAAACAGAAACAGAAACAGAAACAGAGCGCGCGATTGGCGGACGGCGTGGGGAGATCCACGCGATCGAGCTCGTCCGTCCGGATCCATCCCATCTTATCAGTTAACGGGCGCGGAAGACAGTGCGGTATCTGATAATCACCTCGGACAGGCGACCCCTATTTCTATGAGTCCAGACATGATTATGGGTGCGTGCCGCCACTGCTCTGATCGGACTGCGCGCAGCACGGGATGGCATTGCATGCCGATCTTCCGCGCCGAGGGCACGGCATGGCACCGTCGCCGCCCGTGTGTCGTGTCGTGAATGGCAGGAAGGAAGGCTATCTGACACCAGCTGGGTGGCTGGCTGGGTTCCATTTGATTTGACAGCAGCAGTAGCTTCAGCGTTGCGTCACCGTCCAGTGAGTGGGTGGGTGAGTGGGTGATGTTCGCTGACCGTTAGCCTCAAACTGAGAGAATCAGACAGACGAGACAGCGACCCGGCGCGCGCGGGGCGCACCGCATCCAAATCAGGTTCGTGCGCGGTGGCAGTCAGCCAGTCAGTCAGGACTCAGATAGCGTTTGATTTGACAGGAAATGGCAGTGGAGGGTGGATCATCATCCATCCATCCGTCCATAGTGTCTGGCTCTGTCTGGCTATCCTGTCGCGCGATGTTACGTAGCGCTGCATGTGGTAACGCCTTCGAAGACTTTACGCGCGCGCGCGCAAGGAGCGAGGGGCCAGGAGATCACAGGGCGGGAAGCACCTCCCATCCGCTGCGTAATGGCTTTATTAATGACTCGCCAGCGCGCGGACACGGACGACGCTGCATCCGGGCCGGCCACTCGCCTCGGCGGTTGGACCAGCGCTGCGATAAACGCGGCGGCGGGGGCGTGCCTGGGCCTGGCTTCCGCCGGGTGCGCCCTGCGGAGCGCACACGTAAGAGAAGGAGCCCGCGTTAAGCTCCCGGTGCGCATGGAATTGTTCTGTGGCTGACGCACCCGTCGCGCGACACGTCAGGGCGTCAGTGCACCTGCACGACGCGTCTGGGTCTCGATCGGGGGCTCGCTGAGATAGTTGAGGTGAGTCAGCGCGCAGCGATGCTGGGGTGCTTATTACGAGAAAGGGCCCGGGTGGCTTCCGGCTAGCGCTGTCTGCTGTCTGCTGGGTCATCCGGACCCAAAGTCCAACTACACGCAACACGCGAGCGAGCACCGGCAACCACCGCCCTCACGTGTGATGGCTGAGTACCCAGCACTAGCATCGCACGCTCGGCACGCCAAGATCCGCGAAGAAGCGGTGTCGAGTCCCATGCGCTGAGCGGGCAAGCCACGCCGCCCCTCCCTCCTCGTCAACGGCTCGGAACCACGCTCCGCGAATCAGGCAGGCATCTCGCGCCCTGACTGTGCCGCTCCGCGGACCCACAGCAGTGCCAAGACCCTCCGTGCTCGATTAGGACTGCGCATGCACCTCCTCGGAGCTCCCCGATCTGCCGTGGGCGGGGCAGACTGCCTGCCTGCGCGCGGTGCCCCCAAGCACGACGCAGGATCCGGAACTAGGGGCGAGGCTATTCCTCGCTGCACTGGGCTGGGCTGGGCACACGGCGCACGCCGTGCCCGCTGGATCCAGATCCCGCGCGCGGATGCATCTCGCGGGGACCCCCGGGCGACTGTGCGATCGCGGATGACTGGACTGGATACGTGCGCGGATGACTGGACTGGATACGTGCTTACTCTGCATCGCAGCCAGTTGATTCTAGTCAGGGCGCCCCGGGATTCAAGCTGGGAAGCCCGCAGGGCGTGCGCAGAAGATCTCCCTGCAGCAGGCGAAGCGACTCGCCAGACGCCGGTGTTCATTAGATGTCCGCTGGGTCCTCCTCCCTTCTGTTACTCCTTTGGCACGGCCCGACTTGGAATTTCTCTCATCGATCAGGCAGCCTGCTTGCCTGCAAAAAAGGTTGAGCCATGATTGAATTGAGTTCACAGGGAGATGGATTTGCCAAGTGGATACATGCATACATATACATATCAAAGCCAATGCCACATTGGCTTTTAGGCCGCGCGCAGCGAATCCCACTTCTCCCGGCGTTCCAAAACGCCCAGCGGTGGCGATCCCAAGGGTCGACCTCGGGGGCAGTCGCTCCCCGGCGGACTTGACGGGCGGCCGGCTGCCAGCACGAAGCGAGGGATCGGCGTCTGCCGTATTCAACGCGACAAAAGGAAAAAGAGAGATGCTCCACACTGGGACGTCAGTGCAACAACAACGTGCGCGCTCGGCGTGTCGCCTGATCGCTGTTAGCACCTGATAACGACAGCACCTGCAATCTCGTGCCCAACCTGTTGCGACGTGATTCGGATTATTATTAGTTAGTCGCGGTTTACAGTAAACTAGATTTTTGGTGCAGCTCAGGGGCCTGATCCGCTTTCTTGTCGCCGTACTCACATTTGAACAGTGGCGGTGCAACTGCCTGATTAGGGTTTTTTGTGTTCAACATGAGGGGTACTTGATGGTTCAGCAGCGCAGTCTCATTGATAGAGTCCACTGGCACACTGGAATGCCGGACGGCCTGGAGGCAAGCCGTCTCGGCAAAGCCCTACGACTCACGCACACACAGAGATACACACACGCACATCCTGATGGGAACGCCAGACGGCCGGGTCTCCCACCAGCGGTATCCAGGAGATAGACAACTCGGCGCGTACATACCTCTCCCACCCTTCCACGGGCGCGCGTCCGGCGAATCACAAACCAGGGTGTCTTCGATACACGTGACCTGACATCGATCAGCCGCCGATGGTGGTTTTTGAATTCAGATTCCGATTCCGATCGCGGTTTTTTCACACTCCGTCAGCCGATCGCGGCAGCGAGGCATTGAGTTTCTTCTTCCACGAACTGTCATCTCGGCGGCCCCCTCTGCCCATTGTGGATCTGGGCCTCCTCCAGAATCCTCGCTTGGTCTCTGAATCTGAATCGTGCTGGCGATATACATTACAAGACACTGCTTCCTGCGGCACCACTGTTCGTGCGTGCAGATCGTTTGACGGCTCGGTCCTTGGTTGACGATGGTCGTCCGGGGCCTTACTAGTTGCGATTGCTATTTTTGGCGATCCGTCTCCCAGCCCCTCGCTCCCTCAAGCGCTCAGCCGTCCATCAAAATACAACTCGTTTTGATTAGCTGTCTGGCTTCTGCATATCCCCGGTTTGCAAGTGACTCGGGACTCGCTTGGCCCTGCAGATCGACCACGGGAGCAGTAGAGCAACCCTCGGCCCAGAGCTCACGTACCCGGCCTCTGACTACGCTTGCTGCTGCAGCAGTCTACTACGGCGCTGTGTGACCGGACGCGCGGTTTTTCCTCTTCTTCTTCTTCTTCTTATCGCTCTCTCCGGCGTCCGATCTCGTATTACGACGACGCCACGGGAATTTCGGGAGCATCGAGATTACCGCATCCGGACCTTTCAAACGACGCACAGGAAGGATGTGTGTCGCGTTCTGGACTTTGGAGCACCCGGAGTACGCACTGTGGGTCCTGATTGATTATTTTATTTTATTTCTTTCTCTCAACCGGCACCGGAACTGCGCCCGTTTCGTGCCCCCGATCCTCTATTTGATCGGGACAGAGCACTGGACTGAGGCAGGGAGTTTTTGACACCTTCATTTCCTCCGCCGCCAGACGAATAAGCTTAGCTCAGCTTGGGTGTCGGCGGGCCAGCATCATCATCATCATCGCTCATCTGCCTCGTTCTGATGCTTCCTTTCCTCTTTCCACGTTCGTCTTTCATCGCGTTTCCCAGCTCGTCTGGGGCTGTAGCACAGATATCCTGTGCGCACGGCTACTGTCTGTCTGTCTGTCCGTTGATTCATTGGGGTTGGCGGAACTTGCCGGTTGGGCTGCTTCCGTGTGTGCTACTAGTGACTAGCGTGGACGGGGACGGAAACGGAAACGGGGGTGCATTCCACCAGAAGACGGGCGCTTTTGCAAATTACCTCCTCTCCATTCACATTCGCACATTACTTTGTCTTCTATAGGGTGACTGACGAACCGTGCTGCAGAATCCTCTGTGCCAACCGCGACGAGTACCTGGCGCGGCCGGCCCTCGACGCCACCTTCCACCGCGCATTCGGCGCGGCTGCAGACGCTGCGGCCCCGGAGATCCTATCGGGCATCGACGTGCAGGCGGGCGGGACCTGGCTCGGGCTCAACGCAGGCACCGCGCGCCTCGCGCTTCTCACCAACATCACCGAGCCGCTGCAGAAGCGCGCGTCCTCGCGCGGGGCGCTGGCGCCGGCCTTCCTCGCCGCGCACCCGGGCACGGCTCCCGACGCGCTGTTCCCGCCCGGCGGCCAGTTCGCGGGGTTCAACCTCCTGCTGCTGGAGGGCTCGTGGGGGCCTGCTCCAGAGGATGGGCTGGGGTCGGGGTCGGGGTCGGGGTCGGCGTTGGCGTTGGCGTTCGACGGCGCGTGGATCGTCAGCAATTCCGGTGCCGGCGGGCCTGTGCGCTGCCGTGCACTGCGGACCGACGAGCGTGCCATTGGTGGGATGTCGAATGGGATCCACGTCGCAACCGCCGATAACGATAATGATGATGATGGCGCCAGCTGGCCAAAGGTCCTCGCCGGCAAAGAGCTGCTGGCCCGCATCGCCGCGGCCCCGGCACCGCCGCCGTCCGACGGGTCCGACTCCGACCCCGACACCGCCCTCGCCGAACAGCTGTTCTCCCTCCTCTGCACGACCGCGCCCGCGCCGATCCGCGCGCGGCAGGAGCTGCGGCGCACGATCTGCGTGCACCCTGTCGACGTCAGCGCAGGCGAGACGGCGTATGCACCTGTCGGTGGGAAGCACGAAGCACACGGCGGTCTGGGCCCTGCGTCTGGTCCTGCTCCTGCTCCTGCTCCGCCGCTGCCGGTCTTCTACGGGACGCGCACGGCGACCGTCGTGCTCGTGCGCCGCGACGGGTCTGCGCTGTTCGTCGAGCGCGATGTGTGGCGGATCGCGGGCGAGGGCGCGGCGGCGCGGCCTGTGCGGGCCCCGCCGGGCTCGCAGCGGGCGTTCCGGGTGGACGTTGGCACGGCGCTTCCCCGTCCCGGCCACGGTTAAATTTAGTGGCTGTGAATAGGTGATATCGCGGGATATTGCTATTCCTAGTCGCAGTCCTTCTCACTCTCTCTCCATCTCTATCAATGTAATGTAATGCAATAGACACGCGCCTGGGAAGCGAAAGGAACGGACGGACGGGCTGCATGGCTCCGTTGCACCAATGGTTGCCGACACCGCGAGGGTGCGCGCGGAGGCTCCATGCGCGCGGAAGCACGCGACGCCTTCGCCATCAGAACGACCCACCGTGCACTCGACGGCGCGGCATGGCACGGCTGACAGGCGCGAGTTCCCCGCCCCTCCACATGCACCCCCCGAACCACACACTGCTCCCGACCCCCCGTGCAGTGCACCGCGTGTGACTCAGCCCTAAAAGTAGCAAAATTCACTTCGCGAATAAATCGACTTAAGGCAGAATTGGGGAGGGGGCTGCGCGGTGGCCCGCGCGGCCCGGCCCCGTCCGCCCGGAATTCTTAATTAACGGAACAATATGTGGGGAAGGAATGGAACTGCGAGTCGCTTAGAGACTGCCGGGGATAGTGATGCCGCTATTTAATTTTGACGGCGTGGGCGCCTGACGACGCCACCGCATGTGCTCGACGTTGACCGACGCCGGCGGGCAACGGGTGGGCATGATCCGGGCTTGTGTCGGGCTTGGTGTGTTTCGCGGCCCAGGGTCCCTAATCGCTTGGCGACTACCAGCGAGTGCATATGAGGATCACGTGATACGATATCCTGCGCTTGGCTTGGAGTGGTTTCATCCGGTGAATATGATTATTAAAGGAGGGGATGATGATGAGTAGCAGCTGTGGTCCGTGCAGAGCATAGATATCTACTAGTGTACATATCCTAAAAACAGTGTGAGAGTACAGCTAAGAAAAGATGGGGACTCCAGTTCCAAGCGAAGAGCAGGTCGTAATAGATGGATGGTTCGTCACAGGTTCCATTCGAGCAATCATCCACACCGGACAGGCATTGCACTTAGGTCATGACATGGTTGTACATCGGCGGCAGGGGGAGATGCATCCCGCTGCCGACGTCGGGCGTGAAGTACGACGGGTACGGCGTGCTCCATTCGGTCGCAGGCGACGCGGGCCCAGCCGGCCCCACAGAATGGTGCAGATGGGGCGAGTGAAACGCTGCAGGAGATCCGCTGCCCCCGCTGCCGTGGAACGCGCTGTTCGGGGATCCCCCTCCGCCTCCGGAGTTGTTCGTCGTCGACGTGTGGAACGGCGGAGACCCGTTGCTGCCGTGGAACGACGACGCCGACGTCGGCGCCGAGACCGACAACGGCGACAGCACGTCGCTGCCCCCGTCCGTGGGCGTCCCAGAGTCGTACCCCACTCCGGCGGAATCGGATGGATCGGAGCCCCTGCACCCCAATGGTAAGCAAATCGTCGTTTCAGGCAGAGCAGAGTAATGGAAGCGAGGAAGGACAGTAGACTAAGGCAAAAGGACGTACTGCAACAAGCTCGTCAGGTCCGAAATCCGCCGGTACAGAATGCAGGGCGTCCCCGG